CATGGTAAGCACACAGTGAAAATATTACAAGAAGGGATGGACCAGGCTAACCAGTCATTTTTTGATAACTACAAATCATCAGCAAGCATGTCTTTGGGATATATGATGACAATAGGTATTTTAGGTTTACAATAGAGATTTTTTTTTTACCAAACATTTGAAAGCCTTACACTTTGCCTATTACATCAATCTTACGACACATAACAAGCTTACGCATTTTTTGTTATATTTCTTCCCCATTACCTCACTCCCCATTAATAAGTTTTTGTACCCTCACAAAGGAATGTATTCCACATTTTGGCTAACTTTGGTGTAGATGTTCATAATGATACCTCCTCCTCTCTCTCACATGCTTTGTTGAACATTGAATGTCAGCATTGTTAACAGTTTTAAAATCCAATGTCTGTACTGGTTACACCTGCTTCACTTTTTAATATTTTCCTCCCCGACAACCCATAACAGTAACTAGATTTATGTTATAAATAAATAAATAAATACATAAATAAATAAAATGGTGAAGCAGTCAGAAATGAGAAATCTGTCCAGGCCCTTCTGGTTAGTCTTTATGCTCCCTCCAATGGTAGCTCTCTCAAATTTTTATAAACAATGACAATCTAACACTTTTCTATTCTGATAGGGGCAAGTTTAAGAGATACAGAAAAACCTAGTTGTTGTTATATAGTGTCTAGTTTTTATAAAAAACCTGTTGAAGTATGCAGCACTTACTTGTATATCAGCTAAAATAACTTGTGCTGAATTTAAATTACTGCAAACCATTTGGAAGAGTTTGTAACAGAAGAACAAACACTTCCTTAAACTGTAGGAGCATCAACAGCAATTGGGTCCAAAAATTTTGGATTCTCTTTGTATGACAGAGCTATTTCTTTAAACTATTCAACCTCTGAACATCAATTAAGTCTTTGTATAATACAATGAAACTGGTGTACACAATTATCAAAAACAAGACATTAATGCAGGAAAAGTTGCCAAGAAATCATCACTTTCACAACTAGGGAGAGGCTCGTCATTTATTCAAATCTATGCCACAGTAAAAACTCCTAGCACATCTATCTACTGCAGTACTTTCCCATTCTCCCTACTTTATCATCACTCATCAATAGTAGAATGTCTTTGTGACAGATGTGCCTTGCTTAGATCAACACAGACTGAGACACATTTCTCCTTTTCTTTTTTTAATCAAGTCAGTGACAAACATCCACAAAGGAAGTTTTTGCACTTTCATCGTATGCACCTCTTTCTGGCTTCTTCTTTCTCAGTTAAGTCCTTCCATAGTTTAAGTATAAATTACCCATCTGCTCTCAATGCCTTGAAGAAGGTTTCTCCCTGGATTCTATCATTAGTAAGTCTTCTGGGTATCTGCTAACTCCAGCATAACCAAATAACCAAAAAACGAATTATCAACCAAAACCATTTTTCTGTTGCTCTATTGCCACCACTCTGGGTTATGACTAGTTGCTGGCAGCATAATCCAACAGCTTGTGAATGGCATCCCAGTGCTGAATTGAGGTAAACTAGAAGGACAACTGGAAGAAGATAAAGCACAAGAAGAAAGAGAACTGTGGAGCTAAGCACTGTGGAGCTAAGCACCGTCTGATACTCCCTATCTGTAATCTCCTAGATCACTGCAAGAATACATAAGATTCAGACAAAGCCAAATATTCACTTTGTAGTACAGAGATTAAGGAAAATCAGTAGTGATATCAGTAGGTATTGCTTAAATTTGTTACTGTCTAGAGAAAACAAAGACTAGTGCATATGTCCCAAAAATCTGACAAAATCTCTGTGGAAAAAGTTATTTTTTTTTATTTTGAAGATTTAAATAACCGACTAACCAAATGAGTCAGGGTTTTTCTAGTGGGATTCTGCAGAGCTCAAAGTTTTTCTAGTGGGATTTTGGGCTCAAAGTTATTAAATATACCATGATATAATAGCCTCTGCACTGTAATCTCTCCCAAATAAAAAAACAAACCAAAGCCAGCTAAGATTTCTAACTATTTTTTTCTATCCAAAAAAGATGGAAAAAACCTGTTCATCTTGCTCTTCCTCTAAGTTAGAGACAAGGGTTGACTACCTTTTAGGAGCAGCAGGTCAAATTAGTGCAACTTGCTCTAAAGTTGGGCTGCCTCTTCCCTTGTCCCTGATGCGAACCCACAGAGCTGCCAAACTGCTGTCAACCTCTGACTCATGTGCGAACCAACATTTTATTGTATGAAGTTAAAAATCATACTAACTCCTTACATGATGTGTGGCCTTCCATAAGATGACAACTATAGAATGAAGTTGCCACTAGATGGCTCCTTTGTATGGCAAATTATGCATTACACAGTTCTTGACAAGACTCTTCTATAAAATGATTAAAAATGGAGTGATCAGAATATTCCCACCACTAACACCTACCAGCCCCACATCTATTTGTAAATACATAAGCAACTATTTTTAACATTCTAGGTAGACTATTCTACCTTCCTTCTTAGTTGGTTCATTTAAGATTTTTTGCACAAAAGGCTACATAAGCACACCATGCTTTTGGCACAACTGCTTTTACTCAGCAAATGTGCTTGTGTTTAAGGTTTGCCTCAGTGCATTCTGCTACTGATTTTTAAAGATATTAAACCAAGCTTTTTAAAAAAGTGTGGGGCACACAGTTCCCCCACAACTTCCCATTCTGAATCTTAGGATCTCTTCTGTTTTAGGAAAAGATACAACTTGTGGTAACAAAATGGAAATGGCTTGACCAAAACCTGAGAAAACTATCACACTCGTGAAACTGCATTCTTCTTTTTTATTTCCACCTTGCCTATAGCTATTGACAACATGTATTGACAAGTAGTTATCCATAAAAAAAATGAAGTTTTGGTCCACCCTAAACCACTCAAGAATTCAGTCTAAATTTAGTGAAAAGGTTTCACTAACATTTTTTTTCAGGGCTAATTTCACAAAACTGTGGAACACAATGATGGTATTTACACCTACATCTTTCCTGAGAGCCACTGATTCTTTCTTCAGAAAGACAAGTTGAAAATGACTCTAGTCCAGAGGTGCCAGAGTGTAGTACATGAAGGCATTTTGCTTGGCAAGTGAGCTTTGGGGAAGACGGTGGGGAAGGGGCTGCGCTGCCACAACAAGGATCAGGCCCCATGCAGCTCCTCCGCCATCTGCCCCAGCATGCCAACATTTTACAAATTGAGGTTGTGGGTGCTTTGGCACTCTGCCCAGAAACATTGCCAACCCCTGCTCTAATCCACTGGTTAGGAAGTTAGACACCTGGACACAGTCTCTGGTCCAGTGAATCTAAGTACTTCAGACAAAGTGAAACAGTACCAACAGCAGGGTTTGATTTCAATCACTGGTCTGGACACCTCGATTTAATCATTGCTTTCTACAAAAAGTGCATTCTTGTTGTTTGATATCCTTTATTCATTTAACTTCTTGAAACTTTTCACTTTTAGAGATGTAAGGGCTTGAAATTTGCAGAGAGACAAGAGTGCAGATGGGTAGGTAATGAGGTCTGTTATCTCTCAACTCCGTGTACTGCTGTTAACAAGGATGTTATCTCTGGAGGCACAAATCCACAGTTTGAGAACCGAAGTTAAGCGTTACAGAGATGCTTAATGGGATCTTCTAGACTGAGCTCTGAGTCCCATTGGGCAGAGTGGTTTTCTTTAATCTTTACTAATCTATAGAGGAGCCCCTGGGAACCCCATAAGATTGGGCCCCAAATATGGACCATGGCTTGTTGTGACCTATTTATAAAACTTTCTAAAAAAGTTACATGAATATATTGTTTCAAATAAAATACAATTAGAAGTTATAATCCCTATTCCATGATGATAGCTTTATGCTTTAACATATCTTAAATTAAAACAATCTTTACATAGTTTTATTTTTAAAAGCATCTTAACAAAAAAAAAAATCAAAAATGCAATTAAAGTAAAAAAATCTGATTTAAATAAAAAAATTCCAATTTTTAAAAATCATTAATTTATAACCACCCTGATCAACAGAATAGATTACGAGTACCCTAACTCCATAATATCCTATAGCCTGATGTTAGAGCACTCTCCTATACAGTGGGAGAAGTGGTTTAAACCCCACAGACATAGAAGCTGAACCTGGGTCTCCATATGCCCATAATTATGGGATAAAAGTCCCTTCCCAGTGGGAAAAAAAGAGCTGCTTGACAAAAATGGAAAGGTTTTCTTTTTCCCCCCTCATATTAAGTAAGAGGTTAATACTCTCTATTTACATATCTTACTTTCTTACATCCTAGAATATGCTCCAGAGATCTATTCATTTTGAAGGGCATGGAAAATGAGAACAGCACAGTACTGGAGCTGATGATACAAGTTAAAATTAGCACTATTAAAGTTTTAGGGGAAATGTAACTGGATTAATATGCCACGTTTTTCTAAAACTGTCTTGTGTCACATTTGTGCCAATGTCTTGTAGTATATTTATATTAATACCTCTGCAAACATAGCCTTGCCTTCCCCAGAGCAACTTGCACCAGAAACCATAAAGTTTATTGATTCACAAAATATACCAAACAGTTGGCATATATAAACTGAGCCCCGGTTTTAATGTGATTTGTACTGGTGGACTGTTGCACCAGCACAAACTCCCACAATACCAAAAGGGCTGCATCTATGTGGTTCAGAGCAGTGCCTTAGTATTAAAAAGCTAAGGCAGCTGGCTTCTTGCTAGGTACATGTATGATCTACAACATGCATTTAACCCATTAAGAATATGCAGCATACTTTTTAGTAAATAGACTGGCCATGCAAAAAAATCCTGAACAAACCTGTTTTTCAAGTTAGAGGTGACAGAATATGTTACCTCTTCTGCTCTGATGTTGTAAGAAATCTTACATTTTCAGTCACATACTCTTATTGCTGAGCACATATAACATGCAGCTACTACACTGTTGGAGACAGTGACGAAAGGAAAATGTTAGAACAGATGAATAACAGAAAACATACCTCCTTTGTTTCCATTCTCTTCATCCTGAAAGAGAAACATGCATTTAAAATGTAAATTTACAAATGGAAGAAAAATATACAGGTAAGATTAAAAAAAGGTGTCTAAAATCAGGCTTACAAGGATATGCTCCTAACTTTGGTTTACTCTTGTGGTGTTTAGTCTCTAATCGTAGCTACTGTAAAGCTGTGCCCAGTTTTATTGTTCCCTTAACTGTATAGTATAGTATAGTATAGTATAGTATAGTATAGTATATAAATGTAATTTTGATAAATCTTTATATTCCAAGGTTGTGTCAGTAAGGAAGTGATTAACTTGAGTAGCCTGAAACTGTTCACCCTTAGAAGAATTAATGGCTGATGATTAGCATTTGACTTAGTTGTTTACTGGTCCGTCCACCTGGACATGCTAAGAGGGATGGGAAGCCTAGATCTGGCTAGACAATGATAAATTTACATTTTAAAAGAAGAGCCAAAAGATTGTCATCTAGCTAATCAAAGTATCATACAGGAGAGGTGGACTGGGATTAGAAAATCTACAGATCTAAAAAAGGATCCACGTTTGTAGTCTGATAAATATAACCCTTAGGGTTATATTTATATACTTGCATAGTGTGAGTGCTCCTAGAAATGAAGGGGTGACATATATTAACAGCTAAACTGGACAAGGTACTTCAAGCCTGCCTTAAAAGAATGGCTTTGTTTCCAGTATTCTCAGGTACATGGGAGAGGCTGAGGTCCTCCAGCCAAGGTAGCTGGGAAAAGCAAGCTGACAGAGATTCTAAGAGGGTCAGAGGTAGGACCTACATTTAGACCTGCAAAGCTGGCTAAGGACTGCATCATTGAATTTAGGGTGCAGGATAAGAACAGATTCATTTTCTGGTATTTTCTTTTGTTTGTTTACTCTTTTTATTTCTGGCTCTATCCAACATATTGTTAGTGGTTCTTTATGCTTGTTCTGTTTTTACAATAAATCATTTTTTTTCTTTGTCTCTTACTGACTGTCAGTGGAAGGGTTGACTTCTGGGCAACTGATGTTCCAGGCTGATTCTCTCTAAAGAGAAGAGGACCTATAATTTCTTCTATACCCCCAAGTGAGCTCAGGCCTGTAGAGATTCCCACAGTGTAAATAAAGGGCTGGGGAACTGAGGTTTGCTGGGATAGGGAGCTATTCCAGAACCACCTCAGTCTGTTCCTTGGTGTGGCAGCACAGTGGAGAAAAATACAGGACTCTGAGGATCCCTCACAGATTTGGGACAATAGGGTTTGTGACAAGAGGGAAGAAGACAAACAGCCCAGAATAGTAGAACAGGTTAGGGATTGCTTAGAGAAGTTTTTAAGAGGCAGGGTCAGATGGGATGCACCCTAGGGTCCTGAAGATAATTTCACTGAGATAATTTCACAGCCACAAGCTACCCACTTGAGGATTGTGGAGGTTGGGTTAGATCCCCAATGACTGGAATATAGTGCCCATTTTTAAGAAATGGAAGAAGAAGAATCTGGAGAAAGAAGAGACCAGTCAGCTTGACCTTAACACTTGGAAAGATCATGGAGTAGGTCCTCAAGGAATCAGTTGTGAAGCACCTAGAGGAGAACACGGTGATCAAGAAAACCCAGCAGGGATTCACAAAGAGCAGGTCTTGCCTAACCAACCTGACTTCCTTCTAAGATAAGGTGATGCACTTTATGGATTGTGGGGGGAGGGAGCAGTGGATATGATATACCTGGACTTTAGCATGGCTTTTGACATTCTCTTCCATGACATTTGTTATTAATAAGCTAAGGAAATGCAGCCCGGAGGAAAGTACTATGTGGATACATAACTGGTTGGATCATTGTGAGCAATGAGTAGTCATAAATGGTTCAATGTCTAGTTGGGAGGAAGCAACAAGTGGGGTTCCCCAGGGGTTTGTCCTGGGTCGAGTATCATTTTAATATCGTAATTAATGATTTGGGTGATGGCACCGAGTACACACTTAGCAACTCTGAAAACAACATGAAGTAGCAGATACTCTGGAATGTAGAGCTAGGATCCAGAATGACCTGGATAAACTGGAGAAATAGTTTGCAATCAAACAGATTGATTTAACAAGAACAAGTGCACTTTGGATAGAATAACTGAAAGCGCAAAAACAAATGGAGGACTGGCTGTCTAGGTCAGCGGCTCTCAACCTTTTGCACCTTACATCCCACCAATCATTTTGTTACAAAAACCCTGGTGCCACCATGATAAAAACAAAACCCCACAAAATTGCACTGTTCAAGATATCTGTTGATCCATCTATTTGAAGTTCAAACAACTGATTTTTTTGCCCAATTGGGCACTGAGCTGAAGTCCCACCTACATGACCTTCAAGTCCCACCAGTGTGACATGTCCCAC